GTCCCCATCGCACCCCCCCAAGGAAAATGCGTATGTGAACTCGCAAGCACACCAACTCGCGTTGCAGTTTAAACTCGCTGCATGCTCTATTCATAAAAACTATGCTTCAGTTGAACCGTTTTAGTTGTTATTGCCGCAGGCGAAAGGATAAATTCAGTAGCAACTTKTTACAAATAATGCAATACAAATGCTGCAATTGTTGGTTGCTGCTGTTCCGCGCGGCATTTGCTGCTGATACTTGATATTGTTCTGCTATTTGTTGCAGTTTTATGCTGGTGCTGCCAGTTAAATTGCTAGTTTTGTTTCAAAAAAGTCTAGATTTTTTTAAGCATACACATATAGATATACATACGTCTGTAATGGTGCAATTATCAAGAGTATGGAACTACATGAAATCGACTGCGGTGTGCTTAAATATTTTTTAACTCCATCCCAGCAGTGAAAACCACTGCAACGAGGACTTTGAAACCAGCTGATTTTATTAAGGTTTTTCATGCAAAGCAATTTCAAACAAGAGTAAATATTCTAATTACATAACGGGTCTTTTTTAGAAGTTTTCAAAGAGGCAATTATTTCCTAAGAGTTTATTTTTTTKACAGCTATTATTTGATGTATATTTATTTATCCAGCAGAGTCGGTAATTTGAAATACCATGGATCGCAGCTATTGTGCGATGGAGCAGAGATCGAAGGAGACGCATTTATCCAACTGTCATCGCGCCCATCAATTGTAGCAGTGCCCATTTACTTTATGGAAGATTTTGAGGAAGGATCGTGGCTTGCGGGCCACCAAACCCGAATTTCAAAAAAAAAAGTTTTAGTCAGCTATGAAGCTCCCTTTTGGTAGTTAAACAAAATTGTCGCATATCGAGTAACGATAATCCATCAGTATTTCTTCAGACGCCCTTATATTCTTAAAAAGTCACTGTTTGGTGTGTTCTAAGGGCAGAGAGWACTATTGRTTCATATTTCTTTAAAAATGAAGCCAACCATAATGTTACAGTAAATGTGGAATGACGAATGAYCACGGCACTATATGACATACAGCTGMCGAAAAARTTAATTTMTTGAAGGATATTTTCAATRARCGCATATTCTCGCTCTTKGACCTCCAAGATCGTGCGATATAACACCRCGGGACTATTTTTTATGGGTTTATGTGAAGTCAATTGTGTAAGCAGTTAAGCCCGAGGCGATTGACTGCTTGAATAGAATATTCGACAGGCTCGAAAATTGCGCGTTTTGGGCTGAAATTTATTCAACCTTGAATGAATTTTTAAAATATAATGGCAAACCCTTTTCTTTATATCTTACAAATTCTTGTCATAACATGAAATTATATGTGTTTGATTTGTCTAARATTTATCCGCATGGAAAGTTTTCTATATGTCTAAAATGCCATTATTAAGACCTAGTCTGATCTAATTTGATGTTTGCAAATTTCAGCCTTTTATAATATATTTGGTAGATTTCCATAGATTTAGCTGGTTTGTTTCACAATAGCTACCTTTACTTTTAGTTAGCCATCATGAAGTCCCACGGGTTATGAATATATTCTTATACCAAATACAAAACAACTTTTCAATTATTTATTTTAGTGCGGGTGCCCCATAATCAAAAAAAAAAAGAAAAGAAAGTTATGTCATCTTGAGTACCAGTCACTTTACTACTACTGTACTGCTTTGCTTTTTACTGAAATCTGATAACTTTCTTTCCTTAAGGAAAAACGTGCAAAAAATATCAATTGTTCGTGTGAAAAGTAGAAAATCGCCTGATTAGTTGCTTTTCACACTAGTTGTAAAGCGATTTATAACTGACTGAGTTGACTGCAGGGTACATGCAAAGTACATATGACTGTAGGTGTAGTTGTGCTTGCCAGTGTTGCGCTGTTGTTGGAACAAAGTAACGCTTATCGTTTTATTTTTTTCATATCCACGGGCGGTGGCAAATGAACTGGTGCTTTAGGCAAAAAAATAAAAGATTTAAACATTAAAAATAATACTCGAATTTGTTAGAGCTCGAGCCAATTTTTTTGCACATTTTCTGGGAATGTTTGTGCTTAGTTCTTGTTGTCTTTTATACAATTGATTTAGTTAAACGTTAAAGTTTGTACAATTTTAATTGTTCTAATTCTTTCTATTGGATAATAAATACAATCCAGTTTTTCATTTAAATTAAATTTATACTTTTAGGAATGGAACCGCATGCATTGCTGAATATAAATGCACTGGCCGCCGTTTATGCTACTATAATAGTCTAAGTATCCATTGATCGACCGCAGAGTATATATAAACATCCTATAGCCACATCCCGTATTGACACACCCCATATTTCCGCAACCAAAAAATATCTAACCTTAATCATCAGACTCATTACCTTTGCTTCTCTATAAAGTATATCTAATGAATCCTGGACAATCTATCAGATGTAAGTTACTGATACATATTACTGAAACTCGAGCTTCTCCAACTATCTAATTTTCAGCTAAAATATGGTTTTGGCACAAATTATATCTGCCATTCCGAAAACGTCGTCATTGCAACGTTGTGACCTATTGCCCCCATACCTTAAATTGGTTGTGTTTCGAAAATTCTAAAGGCAGACTCTAAATACAATTTATGGAGAGTAAAATATGGTGTACCTAGCACGCTTCCTCTCAATAAAGGTCAGTTTTATTAGATGAAAATTAGTAGGGATCTTTCTTAATAAATAAAATGTTTCAATTATCTTTAGTTTTGCACATTAGTGAGAAATACTCTCTCGACTACCATACTATACTAAATACTAAATGTAGCTTTGGATTAGAAATAATCAGCATACAATGCTTCTTCAAGCTTCAAGA